TGCCTGCCACGTGGTGTGACTCGAGGTGGAGATATTTTAATAATAAATATAAAACATTGTAATTGTTTTTTAAAAATGAATATTAGTTTTAGTTTAGTTGTTAAGAAAAATGAATGAATAACTTGGACATGCTTTTTTTTTTTGTTTGTTTCTCAAGAATGAATGTTTGTTATTAGTTTGATTATTTTAGAGAATTTGTTATTTAAATTTTAGTTGTTTTAATTTATAATTCGATTATTATGATTCTGATGGTCATTAGTTTGAATATTTATCATAAGAGCGTTCTAATGTTTGTTAAAAATCAGAAGATCGAAAAACAAGTGACAATGATTTGGTCTTTGAATTAGAAAATCTTAAATTATCGAATAAAATATCACTAATGTGAAAGTTTTTATCGATGAACTACTATTTTACCGATAAATAATATATTTGTACTAAGCAAAACAGTGAAATTAATATTAATTTATATTATTTAAAGTTCAAATGAGTACTTTTTTGATAAATTAATACTATAAAAATGTGAATTTTATTGATAATATTGAATCTATGTAATTTTATACAAAATGGTTAGATTTGCTCTTATCGATGAAACTCACCTAAGTTCACCTCAAAAAAATTTTCATGGTCCAACATACATGTGGTTAGTGATTATGTCTCAATATGCCAACATGAAGCTTGTTGGTAATTTGATTTTTCTATTACCTTCTCACTAATGGCAAGGTGATGGTTTTTTTTTTTATTATTATTATTATTTTATGTTGAATCTAAATGTTTTATGTATATTTTTTTATAAATATATTTTTTTTTATAATTTTGACTATCAAACATTATGATTAGTTTATTTGATATTAGGACTTGTCATTTTGCACTTTAACTTTCAACATGGACATGGTCATTGAATTTTGAAATACCAACTTAAATCATATCGAAAAATAAAATGAGGGACTCCAAAATTTTTGTATTTTTCTACTCTCGCTAAAACTAACTTTGTATTTATGTGAATTATATCAGTAAATGTAATTTTGACTAAAAACTCATAAGTAAAATATTCTATATATCCCTAGAACTACGTAGCCTGTCCATTTTTTCTTTCTTTCCTTCTTCTTCTTTCTTCTCCTTCCTTATCTATCTCTCCTCCTTCCTCTTGCATCAAAATGCTACTAAAATTTTTTTGTTTATAATTACATTGTATATATTTATATTATTTTTGGTTTATATCTTCTCGATTTCCTCTCTTTTTCTCTTGTATTCTTTGTTCCTAATTGTTTTAACTTTAATTTGAACAATTGATCAATTTATTTACCATTCTAATTTTTTTTCTTCTTAATGTTGTTTTGTAGGAAACATTATTGGGAGATAAACAAATAGGTAAATAAATTTTATTTATGTAAACTAAAATTTAATTTTAATTATATTTTTATTATTTTTATTATTTGGTTGAATTTATACATAAATATTAAATTAATTTATATTTTATCATTTTTTTAGAAAATACTGCTCTATAAATATCAAATTTTAAATTGAGGTAATTTTTAATTTTTGATTATGTTATTTAATTATATTCTATGTTTTTTATTATTCTTATTTTTTAAATTATGTTTTAATTATTAGTTTTAGAAAATAGATTCAATAATTTCCTTTTTTATTGTAAAATTTTAATATTATATTTAACTTTTTTTAATATTAAGAATTATAAATTAAGTAATATTTGACAATAAATAAATTGAATTAAATAAAAAAATCCAGTATTAATTTAAGAAATTGTATTTTTTTTTAAAAAAAATTATTATACCAAAGCAATCTTCATTGGTAATTAACAATGATTTTTTTTTTATTACCAACTCCATGTAAGTTAGTAAAATAGAGGTATTGCAGCCTTTTTTTTTGGGTAATCGATAAAGAATGTCGATAAAAACTTTGTCAATAAATTTTTTCAGAAATATTATTAAATATTTATATTACAAATGTTAGTCTTGTCAGTAAATTTAACAATGTGATGTGAGCAGTCAACCAATTGTACTTTTCTAATCAAATAGTTTGAGACATATCTTTCATTGATAAGTTTGAGTAGTTTACCAACGTAAATTTAAGTCATGTTAATAAATGAATTTAATGAGAAAATTTACACCGATAAATATTTTATTGATGTGTTTCACATTAGAAAGGCTTTTTTTACCTACATTATTCTCTTAAAATATCACGCATTCAAGCAATTTGAGCTAGTTAAGATATTAAAAAATCAAGGCCAACTCTGAGCTTTTGACTTTTGATTTGTTTCATTTTCTCCTCCATTTGACGGGCAACTCAATTGATCAGGTGAATGGTTTTTGTCAATCCATGCGCTCCGTGTCCCCTTTTGTTACCATGTCAAATTGCCAGTAGGATTCGAATGCGTATTAATTATTAATTGTTTTTGAAATTAAATACTTTTTTTTCTGTTTTTGTTATATAATAAAAAATAATTAATATGTTTTTGATTTAAAGTACTTTTTAATTTATGTTTAATTTAATTATTAAAAATATAATATAAATATCGTATATATATCATTGTATATTTAAATTTATTTATTTTTAATTTTAAACAAAAATAATAATTTTTAATTAATAAATTATATAATATATTAAATTAAAATATGCACTAATAAGTATCCATAACTTTCATAATTCATGCATCGTAGTTGGTCATGATTTGGCCTTTTCATGCTTCTCGTGCCACATCTTTGCCTACTGAGTCTCTGTTTAAGGAGGATGCTTCTATCAGTCAACAGCGTAAGATGTTGGAACTTGGATTGGAAGTGTATATGGATGCTGTCCAGACCTTCCCTATCTCAGAAACATATATTATCTAGAATACATCAATGATATTGAGAGGCCAGGGTCAGGCAACTAGTTAGTAAGCATACCGTGCCCAGTGACTCCACTCCCATCTGATTCTTCTCTGGTGAACTTGGTTCTTGAAGCGTAGTATAGCCCATCTCTTTTACCCCCAAGGATAACTAAGGTGCAGGATCTTGCGGTTGACTTTGTTGAAACTATACTGGAGTTTCCAAGTTGGTGCCTTCCAACTGCAAGTTAGTGATCTCTTTCTGCAAGCTGTTAAGCAGAGGTTACCGGTATATATAGTTGTTTTGCTTCCTCCAATATTTTATTTTGGGCAGGCTCTACCTTGATGAATGCAATCTTCTGTGGGGTTGAGGCAGCAGGAATATTGGGCAAGGTTCTGTGCGCTGAGGCAAGAAATGACAGATTTTATGAGAAAGCTTTATCAGGATATCCATTCCCCCTCCGTCAAGCTACGGCCATGTTTTCAAGACTAATCTAAGACCAAAGACAGAAGCTTTTTGGTTGAAGCTGCAAGAGAAAGGGGCATAGAACTTGATTGATTGTGTAATGTTAGGGCAGTAGAATCAGCATTAGCTGAAGAAAGTACCAGCAAGTTTTGCTAAAGATCGTAGAAGATAACGTGAAAAAATTAGGGTATAGAGAAAAATATGAAGGTCAAATGTTAATTTTGGTCCTTCAACTTTAAGATTTTACATAATTTTCATCTTTTAATTTTTTTTTTTTGTAATTTTTTATCCTTAACTATAAAAAATACATTTTTTTAGTTTTTCGTTAGTTAATTCATTAAGTATATTTAAATCTGTACATTTTTAGTCCTTCAACTTTAAGTTGACTGTTGAGAGATGAAAAATATGCATATATTAGAAGTTGAAAGATTAAAAATATGTAAATTTAGATAAATTTAATGGATTAACTAACGGAATAATTAAAAAAATATATTTTTCATAGTTAAGAATAAAAAATGTAAAAAAAATGAAAAAATGAAAATGATGTAAAACCTTAAGTTGAGAGATTAAAATTGACATTTAACCAAACATGAATGCAAATAAGGTAGGAACATGATCAATAGGTCTCTTCAGGTTACACACCAACCCATGACTATGTTCGCCAGCCCAATAGGCGGAGTCTTTTTTTTGACAAAAGAGATTACAGTGTTAAGTTAGACTAATATCTGTTTTAAATAATAGGTAAGACTGAACCTAAAAAACTGACTTACTTTTCAATGTGATAAGTGATAACCAGTGCCCCACAAGTGGGGAATAGGCGGAGTCAATTTTAGAGGGTGCAAGACTGCAAATAAGAGGTTTGGCCCTAATATTGATTGTGCAATTAAGCAGCTTTTTTGTATTATACTAAAAGGCTATGAGTAGCTGATAGTGAGTTGCATTTTCATTTTACGCTTTTCAGTTTATGTATTCCTTTTCGCAGGCTGTTAAGAAGTAATCCATTGTGGAGTTAATTACTGCTTACTGGTGGTATTATGATGTAACTTCGGCTCATTCAATCTCAATCTAAGACGAGCCATTTACGTTGAAATTAGGTGATGATTTACAAAGAATTATAATATCATTTTATAACTTTTTAAGAATTAATTTATAAAAAAAATCTCTCAATTAATAAAAATTTAAGAATAAAAATGAGTAGATATTTCATTCTCTATAAACTAATTACTTATGTTAAAAAAATACTAATGTATTTTAATACAATTTCATAGTAGTATAGTACATTTTTTCTTTGCTGTTAAACTTTTTTATTTTTTTGGGTTACAATGGACTAATCATTCTTTTTTCTTTTTTTTTTTGAAACAATGAAAATTTTTTTTCATGAGATGAGGAAGGAGGACTTAAATTAAATCCAAATTCAACTAGTTCTAATTACGTCCTGCTTTATATGAAAGTCAGTTGGCTTCTAAGGGCTGGACATGGACTAATCTATCTTAGTAGTGGTAAGTGGTAACTTTTTAATTTCAGTTTAAAAAAAAAAAATTAAGGTAAATGTTAAAACTAGGGGTGGGCAAAACTGGTTTGGTTTAAAACCGAAACCAATTTTGAATTAACCAAAAAAATTTGGTTTTAATTTTGCAAACCAAAACTGAACCAAAATTGTTATAAGCTAATTGGTTTGGTTACCGATTTTTATCAATGAATT